CGAGGATCTGGATCCGTTCCACGGGGAAGATAACGACAATGAGGAATATTGACTATGCCGCTTTGGAATTCAATATCAGAGGAGGCTGAGAGTAGAGACCACAAGGACTTTGACATCAAAATGGATCTACCAAAGTTGAGGGAGGTATGAATCCAAATAAATTTAGTGATTGGATATAATATGTTGAACATATCTTCAAATATAAAGATGTGCCAGAGGATAAGAGGGTAAAATCAACAGCTGGCAAGTGGAAAAGAGTACCTCTTTGTGGTGGAGAAACTTACAGAGATAGAGGAAAAGAAAATACAACAATAAGATTACCAAGTGAGAGAATATTAAAAAAGCAATGCATAAGAAATAACTTGCATTTTATTTACATGTTTCTGAGACTCTATGGAGGAGTTCACAACTCAGTTCGACTAGTTACATAAGAAATGCGAGCTGATCGAGTTAGATGAGCACACCCCCGATACCTTAGGGGCCTGAAGCCCGCTATTAGCAATTTGGTGCAACTACGACCGTATTGGACGTTGGGGGACATTCAAACTCTAGCATTAATGGTGGAAAGACAACAGAAATAGAGCAGACAATAATCAATAACCTTCAGTCAGACAGTCACCTACAACTGCCACGACCGACATAGGTACCTTAAGAGGAACTAGAATGACAGGACTAGGAAATGACAAGCTAGATCAAAGTGGAAAGAAACGGGGGAAAGGTAGCTCATCCAATCTAGTACCGACCACGAAGTGTTTCAAGTGACACAGCCACGACCACATAGCCTCCAGCTATCTCACGAGCAATGTAGTCACATTCACAGATGAGAGCGCCGTCGAAGAGGTGGATGAGAAGTCAGAGGATAGCCCAGAGGAGGAGCTTCAGCTTCAAAGGGACTAGGGATAATTGCTTGTCTTACGAAGAGTCTTACAGTCAATGCCAAAGCGAATCAATTCTGGTTGAGACATAACATCTTTCGCGCTAAGTGCATAGTAAAGGACCAGATTTGCAACTTAATCATCGATAGTGGGAGTTGTCAAAATGTGGTGTCTAAGATGATGGTGAAAAAATTGGGATTAGCCACAGAAACATCCTTAGTTTTATTCCCTTATCTGGTTGAAGAAAGTTAATGAGATACGCGTTGATCAATAGTGTTTGGTCGAATTATCGATTGGGGATCAGTTATAGGAGTAAATATGGTGTGATGTGGTTCCGATGAACGCCTGCTACATTTTGTTGGATATGCCTTGGTAGTTCGACCACAAAACTTACCACGACAGTTTCAAGAACACTTATTCGTTTTAAGAAGGTTGGAAAATACATTGTGTTGTTACTTGTTAAGGATGCAAGTGGCGGGGGTGATAGAGAAGAAACATTTGTTCCACGGGTCACCTTCTTCCAGTCAGTTCAAGACGCTCCAGTGTCACACATTAGTTCTCGAGGGAGCTGAGGAGGTGATTGAGATACTAGTACTGCTACAACCACTGTTATAAGACTTCCAGGATGTGATGACTAACAGTCTTCCTAAGGGATTATGACCACCGAAGGGCATTTTTTACACCATAGTTCTTATACCTAGATCAATGCCGTTGAATCGAACCTTTTACAAATTGAGGGTCTGTTTGGGGCAGCTGCAACTGTTTGAAGAAGCAACTATGAAGTTGCTGAAGAAGAAATTACTCTTATTACAAATTTTTTTTTTGAGAAGTCAGACAACAGCTTTTTAGCAACCCCTACAAATAGTTAGATATGGTGAGAAAATACAGTTTTTAGCTGCTGTTTTTTTGAGAATGCAGGGAAAAACAATATTACCAAATAGGAAAAATTGCGGTGCGACATTACACCCCCCTGAGACCCGTGAAGTACGAGGAGTTACAACGACTGATGCAGGATCTCATCGCAAGGGGGCTAGTCAAAGAGAATGCTCTTTTATGTATTATTCTTGTTTTGATGATTCCAAGATCGACTTACGCAGTGGGTATCGACAAATACATATGAGGCTAATAGATGAGTGGAAGACTGCTTTCAAGACACAAGATGGTTTATACAAGTGGATAGTTATGCCCTTTGGCTTGTCAAATGCACCCAACACTTTTATGATGTTAATGAATCAGTTATTTTAAGCCCACATCAGGAAATTTGTGGCGGTCTACTTTGAATATATTTTGGTATACAACTGAATTGAGGATCACTTGCAACATCTGAGGGAAGACTTTGAGGTACTGCGAGCAGAGAAAGTATATTCCCATCCAAAAAAGTGCCACTTCATAACAGATCAGGTTTACTTTTGGGTTAAATTATGTCTAGTGCAGACATGCAAATGGACCCTACAATGATCAAAACCATATAAACTGGACTGTATCACCATCGTTCACCAAGATGACACAGTTTCTGGGGCTAGCATCATTTTATAGGTGATTCATCAGGACTTTAACACTATCTTTGACTGAGCTTTTGATAGGACAGGAGTTCGCTTGGGACGGTGGTTGCTTAGCCCAGTTTCGACTTCTTGAAAGAGAAGACGACTTAGGCACTCGTTCTAGCATTACTAGATTTCGACCAACCGTTCGAGGTAGATTGTGATTCATCTGGCTTGGGGATAGGGTAGTTTTGAGCCAGGGGATCACCCCATCGCCTTTTTTCAGTGAAAACTTGAATGATTCTATAAGGAAGTACTCAACATCTAGGAGAAATGTCAGGAGAACTGACCAGATAGTACTGTCTAGCGGATGCCTACTTGTTCTACTGGAGTAAGTTGTGCATTCTTTGATGTTCGTTGAGAGAGACCATTATTCATGAGAGTCATACTGGAGGATTGACTGGACATTTGACACAGACAAGACTCACCTCGTGAGATCATTTTTTCTGGCTTTGGCTGGCGAAAGTTGTGGAGCGACACGTCAGATAGCACGAGACTTGTCATATGGCAAAGACGAGGGCACAATGCTTGGTTGTACACTCCATTACTAGTACGAGAGGCACCGTGGGTGGATGTTACATTGAACTTTGTGGTGGATCTCCTGAGGATGCAAATGAACAAGGACTCCGTGATAGTGTGGCGAACAGATTCTCGAAGCTAAAGCATTTCGTTCCTTGCACCAGACATTGGTCGCGTCTCATGTTGCCGATTTTTCAAATAGTATGTGAGATTGTACGGGTTTCCCAGGACCATCATCTCTGTCAGAGACATCAAATTTCTGAGCCACTTCTGGAGGACCTTATGGGGGAAGCTAGCCACCAAGTTCCACAGACGGACGATCAGACAAAGGTAGTAAACAGGAGCCTAGGAAACCTTCTGAGATGCTTCGTGAGAAAGAGTATTAAACTGTGAGACCTAATTCTAGCTCAAGTCAAGTTTGCATACAATATATCCGTGAGTCAAACTACAGGACGCACTCCGATTCAGATTGTGTATGGGCGCAACTTGCTCACGCCACTTGAGTTGGTACCCCACTCCTGCCGACATTAGATGTCAGTGGGAATGCTGAAGACTGGGTTCACGAGATTCAGAAACTCTACGAGGAGGTGATGTTTCAAGAAGGAGAGCTCGTGTGGATTTGAAAAAAGGAGAGATTTCCAGTGAGAGCATTCGGGAAACTCAAGCCCAGAGCAGATGAACCTCTCACAATACTTCGGAAGCTGAATGACAACACATACAAGATCGACCTGCCAGGGGACTATAATGTTTCAACCACACTTATTGTCGCAGGCCTGACATGGTACTTCGAGGACCCAAAAGTTTCGACGAATGAGGTCGAAGCTTCCCCAATCCCAGGAGACTAATGCGGGGCTTTGGAGGCCGGCTTAACCCTCGTGCTGTATGGCCGACTGAGGATAGGTCCTGGCCTGGCTTCCTGCTTGACCGACCAGGCTTCATAGGGGTGGGATTTGCTGCCCACTTTACCCCCTTCCTTTTTTTGTTTCCCACTTATTTCTCTTCTATTATATTCATGTTTGCTGAATTAGGGTTAGATTAATGTATGTTTTGTTTTACATTACTTGCTTGGAGTCTTCTTCCCTTGCTATGCATCTAAGGACAAGTATTACTCTGGCTGTATCCTGCTCTGAGGTGGTGTTTGTCCTCTTCAATTCTCTCATCGTTCTCCTGCTTTCCCATCCTCACCGCTGGCCTGCACTCCTCCAGAGCTAGGCTTCAGCCAGTCATTCCCCTTTCGAGTCTTTACCGCCGACATGCACCCAGTCCAGCCCCTCGTTTCTCCTTTCTCCTTGTTCCACCCACCGACCATCATCTCCAACCCTCTAGATCTAACCTCCAACCTTCCTTCTTTGCCTTATCGTTTTTTCTAGCCATCTGCCAACATAAACCCCATAAACCCAACCACCTACTCCATCCCCTCCTGCTTCTCTCCGCTATCCCTTGTCAAGACCGTCGTTGTCCCCGATTCTTTTACTACTTGTTGTGTTCTCATTTCTATTTTGAGTCGTGGTTGTAATCCTAGTCGTTTTCTTGATAAAATTTGCTTCTGTTATTGCTGGTTTCGTTAATTCCAATATCAAACAATTCCTTAACAAAGGAATTTTCCATTCAACAACTCATGGCATATGTGAGAAAAATTTGGAAAATCTTTTTATATATTTCTCATGGATACTATTTCTAAATACCCGGAATGGGTCCAAACTTGAAGAAAAAGGAGTCCATGTTATCAACGGGCGTGAAATTGCCTAAATTGTTATGAGGCTACCTTTAAAAAATAGAAATTTCTATTAATGAAATGAATTTATCGAGAAAGATTTTAGATGGTTTTGGATGCTTCCTTTCTCTTCCATTATTATCTTCTGGAGTGAAAGGAATGCTAGAAATGCTTTTCTGTCTAGGCAAAGGTGCTTCAGTTTGCCGTTATCACCCTAGCCTATTTTAGATCCATGATGTAAAAAAAAAAGAAAGAAACATCAACAAAATTTATATGGTATTCTAGAATTTGAGGTTCTATTTTATCAATTTTCAAGAAAAAAAAAATTGTTTCTCATTCTCTCGTGTGCAGGGGCTAAAGATCTTCTGCAGAATTTATCTGAAAAGCAAGGAAGGCGGATGAATTCAGCTGAATCTGCAAAGGAAATACCCAAGTTTATTGAATTTTTCAAGGTATGAATAACTCTTACAATCACTTGTAATTAACTAATTTTGGTTAAAAAAAAAAAAGATAAGCAACAAGAAACATATAGTTTTTAAATCTGGCTGGTGCTTGAATGAGATTTAATATAGAATTTGTTTGTTGAGAAGATCGAATGAAAGCTAGTGGAATACCTCATAAATAGTTAAAGTTACTTCCAGCAAGGCAGTAAATGAGGCGATAACTTTGGAAAGGATTACGAGTATCCAAAATTTTAGAGCCATTTAAAAGAAAACGATAATAAACTATGGAACTTTCTCTATTGGCAGTCCCTTCCAGATGAAATGTTTTTTGATGAGGTCAAATTTCTGATAAACCATGACGGTATCTAAAAATAATAGAGTTAATAGAGGGGATATGCTGTTATAGTCTAATTGATTAAATGCATCTTATAGGAGTTTATCTTTCTAACAAGATAACTTGTTTTGTGTGATTTCTATAGTGGTGAAGTACTTTTTTTGCATTTAAATTGAAGTCCCAACTCACCATTAAAAATGAGAGAAGAATTGACATGCATAAGAGATCCTTTTTCCAATTGATGAAATTAGAAGGGAAAATCTATTTCAAAGAGAGAGCAAGAAACCTCAACTGTTAAAAGTCTATTTAAAATCAACTTTAAATATTTCAAGTTTTTTGATTCCCTATGTGGTTTTAATGAACAAATATATATGTAACAACAACGTAGACTTTAGTGCTTCTGTTAGGCATAGAGTCTTCTTAAGAGAAAACATCAAGCTTGGACCTAAAAAATTTTAGCCCATCGAATGAAGATTTCTAAAGCATCTTTCAAAAGCTACTTTGCGGAAATAAATATTTTTAAATATAAGCTCCAGTTTCGAATGGACACGGTTTAGATGAATTTTATAGAAATGGCATCAGGCTTGGGAGAGTTGCTACTACCAATGGAGAAGATAACCTTTAATTTCGTTAATAGAAAAAGAACTCAGTCCTTCATAAATAAATAGATGATCATTGGAGTGGATCTTAAATAAGTTAAAGTGATGATTGGGGATCAATTTTTGCTATAAATCTCTCTTAATAAAGTTTAAATCCTTTTAACATTGAATGAATATAAATTTTTTTATGTCTACCATTGGCAATTTTTTTGTAAGAAAAGCAGTGTTATTGGCCCTCTCATCATGCTATCTTCTTGTAGTTATCTGATGCAATGTTATCTCTTCTTCTATCTATTGAACCCATTTTTTTTTTAAATCTCAGGATCTTATAGAAAATGAAGCTCATTCTTTGCCAATATTTCAATTTGTATTAATTGCTATTTCACCTCCTTTTTTTTTTAATTTAGATTGACCTGTGTTGTGCTTTCTCCACACTTTCAGTCTTTACTTTGCGAGGTTAAGTTTGTTAACCCTCCTTTAATCCACATCACCGGCATGAAAGCCTAAAACAATCTATGCGAAAGAAATGATTTTCCTAGTGTAAGATATAAGATCTGGATAATGGAGTCAGATTAGAGTTGAAAATAATCAATGGCCAGTGGAGTCAGATTAGAGTTGAAAATAATCAATGGCCAGAGAATGATTTGTCATTTTTTTTTTTTGACTACAAGTAGGTAAGAAATCATCAAAACTCGGAGAGATAAACAAGTAGACAAGTGCAGCAACAGTTTAATTCTCACGATTATTGGACCAACTATGCCTTCTTCCCAGTAATGATAGGTCAATTAAATTGAATTTTAAAAATTTTTAAATAAAAAATATTAAAGGTATATTTTCAATTATTGGTAGATCTCTCATCAATAGAGCTAGTCATTGAAGTTTCCAGAAAGGATCCAGTTAGGATTCTATTTATATTCAATTTCGTTTACTTCTTCCCATACTTGATATTGAGCAATAATAGTCAAAACACAGTAGTGTCAACAACTTTTAAGTTGAAGACCTTAAGAGGTAGAATACATATCGATATAGAAATTCAAATTATAGAGAAGTACAGAATTTTAACTACAGATAATACCTCTAGCCTGTTGTCGGCGCTTAAAAGGGGAAAAGAGTTTTGGATGTTTGGGGGTCGCCCGTAAGAAGCTGTCGGTCGCCGGAATCGAAATCCCGTCGCCCGCTTCGGAAGGACTTTTTAATTTACGTATATATATATATATATATATA